AAAGGTTGTTCTTTGCTTTATTCATAATCAGTGTTCTACTTTGGTACAAGAATGCATGAGCATGTGCTGTCAACATGGCAATATTACAATTTATTATAAATTACATCTTTACATAGATTATAATTAGGCACATGCCCCAACCCATTATCACAGATACAGAACATAGACAATTTATGTAATACAGCACTTTGTAAAAATGATCATCTTACAAACTTTAATCTATTATAATTATACAAATGCTTGTTGTTTAAAGGTAGTCTAACTTCTATCTGTTGAAATATACAGCTAACATTCTATCACATACAGTTGAATGGGTTCTTTAAAATTACAGCTTTAACTGAATTAGCATTAATAAGAAATCTTGTTTGTTTACATCTGAATAAAAGTACCATATGTTTCCATATAATTTCTTCTATGCCCTATGTTTGATGCCATAAAAAAGAAAAAAGAAAAAAAATGTTAGCTGAGCCAGTGCTAAGCAAGATTTAACACTGTATTAAAGTAACTTCCTTTGAATATTCATTTAAACTATGTAGTGTCACATTAAGAAATGACAGTCATTTGCAGAAAGAAGAAAATGTTGCATATACAGTACATTGTTTAAAAGGAGTTTCTCTTCTTCTGTCTGCTATGAAATAATTTGCAGTCCATGTAGGAAACATATATTCTATAGTGGTATCTTAAACAACTTTTTATCTATAGCAGGATAAAAAGTTTTATGTTCATCTATATACCATAGAAAGAAATCTCGTAACTAGACCCAGTTGGTAAAACTTCTTGATATATACTGTTCTTCAACCAATCATTCTTGACAATTACTTTATCATATATAGACTACAGGTAAAGGTTGTAAAATGGAAGCTCTCATTCACTATAAATATTGATGAAAAGAAAAATGTTTACAAGCAGAAATACTTATAAAATTGTCTTTTTCAGTTATGAAAAAATAATTATTGAGCAAAACAGCCGCACTAGAAATAATGCATGTTTTAATATATGTAAAAATAAGACTGTGTAATTAATATTAGTTTTATGCTGTGAGTGTTTCCTTCTGAAAAATTGAGGATTAAAGGATATATAATGAATATCATTTAAATACAGTGTTTATAATCTTCAGTTTCATTCAAAGACAGTGTTTACATACAGATTTTTTTTTCATTATATCCCTTATAAGTTATGTGAAATTTATCCACAGATTATATACCTTCATTTATGAACTTATCCCACTGGCACTGGGAAAATGTGCTCAGTGTGGTAATGTTTTGTGAAATGTCTCTGCACACAGATGACTTTGCGAGTGCTTAGCCACAAAGGAGTCAATTAGCAGACTTTCTGACGTCTCCTGATTTCAGCTTTCCTCGTGTTTGCAGGATTTTTTTCTTTTCTTTTTTTTTACTAATGTTATCAATATCAAAGCTGTTATCTTTATAACAGACATTATAATTATTAGTGTTATTGACCCTACTAACAGCAATATAAGATACCAGAAAATATTGTCAAAAATTGATAGGTAGTACTTGTAATTGGCTCAGTGGTAACCTAGTATTTGTGGAGCTATCTAAGTATAAAAGCACTTAATAAATGAAATTCACTGTGGGTATGAAATGTACATACATGCCATCCCTGGTGGCACCTAATTAACACTGCAATGATAGGAAAAAAAATTATACATCCATTCTTAATAACTTGATATACTATTAATTTTAGTAATTACACTTTGGTTTTACAGATCTTATCCAAACACAGTTATCATGACTAATGTAACAATTAAGGAAAAGTGATCTGTGACTGTTACCCAGTAACTTATTTGTTGATTATAACTTCAGAATAGATTTATTTTTCCAGCTGACTTACACCGGATATCAAATTCAGTTTTAATCTGCTCCTTTTGCTTGTCATGATTCATGTTTTGAACATTTCAATTAGGAAGTTACTAACAGTCTGCACTACAACTATGTACTTCTTACACTTATTCTTATTGTTTTCAATAAGTGCACCATTCTGTTTGGTAAGGGTGTTGGTGTAAAATAAACATAGTATGCAAGCATATGATTGGATATTAGAATATTACATATCTTTCCTCAAGTGCAACCATTATAATGTTGGAACTTATCAATATGTTTCACAGTTAACTCTCTCATGCATGCAATGCATTTGCAACAACAAAAACTGCCCACATTTTAACATGTAATGAATCAAGTTCCCAATTAGCAACCTTTTGTGATTTTGTGCATGTGACTCCCCACCACCAGTTTTCACTTGGCAGCAGGGCTGGCATGATGAATCCCCTGGGCCATTTGGTAACCACATGGAAATTATTTAAAACAAGGGTAACACACTTAACACATACATATGACAAGTACACATAACTTATTTCATATAACTAAAGTTCTTTTTGGACCACATACCAACTCCCCAATATCAATGTACATGTTTTAAGAGTAATGACCAGCCCTAGTATTATCTTCTAGATATAAGAAATATTGTAATTTTGAATTACAGATACTTGATCTGACTTAGCCCGTTGGTCACAGATGGTATGACATATGTGTAATGTCCACTATAATTTGTTTATTAATTGTGTTTACACATTGATGGCTTTATAAGTGCTTAGTCACCCAAGTCAATTATTAGTTGTACCCATCTAAATTCATTGCTCTTTCCTTTGATGTTGATATTGTTTTATTCTTTATGGTTATTAGTGTGTTAATAACATTATAATAATCATAACAGCAATAATAACAGTATCAATATTGATAGCATTAGAAAAAAAAAAAAAAAAAAAAAAAAAGATGGAATGGGGAAATTAGACATAGTTAGATTGAGCCTACTGACTGACTCCATGGTGGCTGAGCACTTTTAGAGACATCTGCGTATAACAAACAGCAGTACAGGATAGAACATACGACTCATGGGTTAAAAACTGCATTAAAGTAAATTATGGTGCACTGTCAGTTCCCTACCTGATATAATATGATTTTATCAAAAAAAAATATATATATATATATATATTTTGCTGAAATATGAAGAATTATTTTATCCAATTTAATATTAATCTAGAGAAAAAAGAAAAAGAATAAGAATAAGAAAAAAAAGGAAAATATACCAAAACTTGGTACAACATTCTAGAACCTTCAAAACATTGAATTGCATAACATTTTTTCAATGAAATGTAACAAAAGAATCAATTCCTTCATCAACACAAGCAAAATTATCATCATCTATATAAACTGTGACCAGAAGATGCCTGAGAATTATTTGAATATTCTTATCTGAAGCCATAGAAATCAAGCCGGTCAGTTTTATCGCAATCTTACTCCACTATTTCGTACCATGAAAATTCACTTATTACTGAAGAGTCATTTGGTGTGAGCTGTGAGTGTAAAGGAATCATCTGGGTGTTGACATGTAATAAGGACTTGTCTGAATTTGTCAATTGCTTGAAGTAGTTCAGATCTCCACAAATTGGCTCTATACATCATTTCTTCTAGGTGATGACGTCCCCGGAAATACACACATAGCCTGTTGGTTTAATGCCATCGTAAAATGATCATGTGCATTATGTATAATTTTTTTTTTATAATACTAATACCATACCAATTTCTAGATTTGTTATTTCTATTAGACTACTGTACTTATGGGATCTGAAACTAAGATCTATTCAGTATAATAAAAGTACCAGTATTTCATCTTCATTGATACTGACTGTTTTCTAAGAATTCTTAAGCAATAGTCTATAAACTTACTTTAAAAAGAAAGAAAGAAAGAAAGAAAGAAAGAAAGAAAGAAAGAAAGAAAGAAAAAGAAAAAGAAAAAGAAAAGAAAGTGAAAAAAAAGAAAAAGAAAAAGAAAAAGAAAAAGAAACACACACACACACACACACACACACACACACACACACACACACACACACACACACACACACACACACACACACACACACACACACACACACAAATATATATAAATATTACTTACTTGGCAAACAGTTTGAGGTCTTCTGGATTCTGTGCAGCTTCTACTTTCATGACCATTTCTTTTTCTGCTGGCGACAAAAACGTATCGAGGCGGCGACGGATGTAGTCCTCCGGGATGGTGTTGAGACTGACACCTGGACTGGGGCTCCGCTCATCACTGCACACTGGAAGGAAAGACACATCTAAGTTATCACCTTCTGTGTGACTACTCTTCAGTAAAGCAAAACAGAATTATGATTTCTATCAAAATTTTACAAGACAAAGTTGTTATATGGAAGTTGTTACACTTTCTACCATAGACACCAAGAACATAATCCAACATGTGTTTTCTTACCCGAGCCTAAATCACTTTCAGAAGCTGGCTGGCTGAGCTGTACAGCAGCATGGTGGAGTGCATCCACTATGATATCTGCCTGATGAGACTGCTGTGGATGAGGGGTTAGTGAAGGAGGATCATGAGACAATGGTGGAGGCTCATGAACTGTTGGAGTTGGTATGCTTGTACTTGCAGGGGAACTTGTACCATGACTCCCTAGCTGCCCTGTTCCTCCTATTTCACGTCCACTCAGCCGTCCACTTCCTGAATCTGAGGATGTTGGTGGAGGAGCCAGATAGACATAGGTATGCAGCTGCTGAAGTAAGCCATGTTTCAGCAACCACAACACCTGCTGCACTTGTTCTTGCTGTAAAAGATAAGGGTAACATGGTAAGAGTATGAGCAACAGATGCAAAAGCAGGACAAATAGAAGGTTTAGAAAATGGAAGAGGACTATGATGGTAGATCACAAAACAAAAATCACACAAATTGTATATTTGACCAAAAATAAATACTGCTGTATAAAGAAGAAAAAGAAAAAGAAGATATAAATATCTATGGAAATGTATCATCCAAGATCAATCTTCATTTATTTTCCCATGTCAAACTCTAATCAATCTAATACAAGTTTATATAGACCATTGATACTGCATAATCTTCTAACATAACCATCTAAATTTAGGAAAATATATTCTAAACAAAATACCAATAATGTCATATCTAATCTATCAAAGACTGGTCTTGGTTTTGTTCTTCTTTTTCATTTGCAAATTGGATGATATTTATAAAACTGACAGTTCAAACACTTAAGTACCTGTTGGTGTGGGTATGTCATGGGATGGCACTTATCACTCAGGGAGATGGGGAAAGAGAACTCTGCTAAGACAGCATGAAGAGAAGACCCAGGAAACTGTTCACTGAACCGTTCTGCTAGTTGACTATTGCTGTGAGAGAGAGAATATTTAGTAATCCTTTTTTGGCACACTTTGTAAAAAACAGAAACATTTCTAAAAAACAGAAACAGAAACGCGTGTGCGCGTGCGTGCGTGTTTTATAAATATATTATAAGTATTTACTTACATAACTGTTGGAGCATTTGGAGAAAGTACATAAACATTTGTACTGCACACAGGGTATATTATAGTTCCTTTACCCCAATATACCAGATGTCCAACAAGCTGTCAAAAAAAGTTATACATTATGCTTCAAATCCTTTTTCTCAAAATAAATACAAAAATGCTTTAGCTTGTATCAATAAGTTCCATGAACTGACAGCTGAAAGTAATATTTTCTTCAGATCTATGATTAAATATGTTGAGGAATTATAGGTTAAATGTGTATTTCTAGAGAAATGGCAATTAGTGCCCTTGTCCTCATACATACCATAAACACCTGAGGTAACGTCAAGTCTGCATCAGCAGCAAGGGTGTAAAATGGCGTAAGAGCTGATTCTACATGAAGTAGCCGTCGTAGAGCAGGTGAGGCATCAGCAGAAAGAGACCGAAGTAGCTCTGAGCGCTCCACCAACAACAGGAGCGTATGATAAGGCTTGAGAGTTTGCAGTCCCCTTAACAATCCTTCGTACTAGCCATAAGAAAATGGAAAATATCTTAACTCACACTTCTCTATTCTGATCACCATGCTATCTTTCAGTAGAGTATCATACAGTGTATGATGTATTTTCATAGTTTCTTAACAGTTTTGAGTTTTATCATTAAACATATAAAAAATAGAGAAAAAGAATCAATATATACCCAATACAAAGATTACACATAACATCCTATTATTAAGAATATAATAATAAGTATGAACATACATCAATAAATTTTCCTGTTGCTAGGCTATGATGAACTTTTTGAGGCAAACAAAAGCTCACTTGAATCCACTTGTTAAGACGTAGCTGAACAATGCCTGAACCACACAACCTGTAGAAAAAGTATCCAATAACAGAATGAATTACTCTGCTATATGTAATAGAAACTGCAAAAGACATGAGTTATTTGCTTTGCATAATTTTCATCTACGTCATAACTTACTCCTCATAAACTTGTCTTAGGTGACGAGCAAATAGACTTCTATCAAGTATCAGCTGAAAAGGTGAGATCTGGCCATCTTCTGGAAGTTGAGAAGCCTGAAACGGTATTTTCATATTCAAATTTTATGAACAATAGACTCATTCTGTCAGTGAATGTCAAAACTAAAACTAAAACTATTTCACAGGACTACCTGGTTTTGGAAGGGACTTTATTCCAGTAAATAAAACCTTAGCCAATTTCATTCTAAAAATTAATAATAAAATAAACAAATATATATACAATAAATGACATTAACAAAATGAAAAAAAAAATAATAATAATTTATATTCTAATTACCATATATATTCATCAGGACTAAAAAATCATTTTTAATTGGCTAAAATGGTAGAACAAAAAATATAACGATAATAATTTGGACTGAGTTTAATTATAACTTGAAGACAAAACCATGTATAATAGCTACCTCATCATGTGCAGCTAGCATTATCCTTGCTTCAGAAGACAGGAACTGACACCGATACTCCTCATGACGTAGGGCCAGACCTAGCCGCATGCTCAAATCATGGTAACAATTGACCACATCGTGATTAAGAGTTGCCTATTTTGTCAATGAAAGAAAGAGAAAAGAGAAAACTTTCAGTGCATTATAGAAATCTTTACAAATAAAGAAACTTTTGATCTTTTGGCTCATATGAAATATCTAAATCAATGGCAATTTAATAGTGTGATATCTAAATGATTGGCTCTCAGCTATAAGGTAGAGAGAATATTTTATATATAACAAATATATATGTTTTCCCGATGTAAAATAGTCAAGTTGTATATCTGCATTTTATACTCACTTTCAGAGCAAAAATAATATTAAAGAGGATAATTGTTGAAGGTTTTCTTCTGTCTTGATGTCGACCATGTGTTGTTGTGGGGTTAAGACGAACTGGGTGACCTACAAACCTCACATCATTTACTTTCAGTTCAAATTTACTGTCGCAAAGTTCACTTTTAACAGCAAACAGGTTTGACATAACCTGTAAAGAATAAATATATCTAAGTTTGATACATAACTCATTAAATCCTTAATCATAGCATCTTTATTATCAACAATTTTTACAGTAAGTTTACCACAACTGTAACACTTACTTACACATGGACACAAACACAGACATTGACAGAC